GTTAGAGCTACCCCGGAAAACGAGAATGTAGGGATAAGAGGTATAAATGGTAGCATCACTGAGTGTGATAGGATTATAAGAACTGAGGTGAGATATAAAGTCCAGGCGTGCAGTGTGACAATCGCCTGTATGCAATTACCGGGGCACATTGAGTTCAATGGTATATTAGGTATGGATGTGATAAACAATCTCTATGAAATCATCGACGGGGTGAGGAGATCGACAGAAAGTAGCTTGGCTAAGGTTATTCAGAGGAGGGGGCCATTCGACGAATGCCTTGCAATAAAACCCCATGAGATTCAAGGGTTGGACGGTATAAATTCTGAAGAAAAAAAACTTTTTTATGATGTTTTTGAAAAGTACCCGGGATGCTTCGCTGACTCAATCGAAGACTTAACAGGTATGATTGGTGAGTTACATAAACCGATCGTTGACCAAACTAAACCCATAAGTATACGCTAATACCGCATCCCAGAATGCCATTTATCCCGTTTGAGAGCATTAATAAAATCCTATTTAAAAGCCGGTATCATAGAAGAGAGTTCATCCGCATGGAACTCCCCAATACATATCGTCGAAAAGGGCAACGGGGAAATTCGAATGACTTTAGATCTGAGACGTGTGAATGACCTAACTATCCCCCAAGAATTCCCAATCTCCCGTGTGGACGAAATAATGAGTAAATTTCACGGAAGTAGATACTTCTCAGTCTTAGATTTGAAATCGGGATACTTTCAGATAAGCCTAGATCCGTCGGTGAGACACGTGTATGCTTTCTCGACCCCCTGGGGAAAGTATCAGATGTGTCGCCTTCCCCAGGGAGCCAAAAACAGCGGCCGATTCTTTCAGGCGGTGATGTCTAGAGTTCTTGCCCGTTTCGTAGGTATAAGCTGCTACGTCTTTCAGGATGACGTGGTATTATTCTCGAAATCCTTGAGCGATCACATAACTCTATTGGACGAAGTCATAGGGATCTTATATACTAAGAATCTCAAACTGCATCCCAACAAGAGCCGCTTCATTGTCAGCGAAGTTAAATATCTGGGGCACATCATTAACCAAAAAGGGATATTACCAGATGGGGATAATGTAAGAGCGATACGCGAAATAAACCCCCCTAAGAATGTAAGAGAGGTGAGGAGTTTTTTGGGCATGATCGGATACTTTAGGAGCTTTATACCTAATTTTTCTGATCTCGCTATGCCGTTAACCACGTTGACCAAGAAGAACAAAAAATTCTCATGGGATGTCTCATGCCAAAATAGTTTCGATAAATTTAAAGATATATTATCAAACCCTCCTTTATTACGTCACCCTGACTTTGACGCCCCATTTCACCTATATACAGATGCATCGGATGAATGCATTGGTGCGGTGTTAGGGCAGAAAAAAAAGGAAGGTTTGTGCCCAGTGGGTTATTTCAGCCGAAAATTTAGCGCAACGGAATGGAATTATTCAACCGTTGAGAAAGAATGCTTGGCCATAGTGTCATCATTGCGTCATTTTAAGCCCCTAGCCCTGGGTCACCCAATAGAAATCCACACTGACCACAAGCCTCTGATATTCATGGGAAACATGAATAACCATAATAAAAGATTGATGAGGTGGTCGACCGAACTGGCCGATTACGATATAAGGATAAATTACATAAAGGGAAAGCATAATGAAGTGGCTGACGCCTTGTCACGAATAGGCATGGAAAACGAAAAGGGAAACCGCGCGGTATGTAGTTACGCGGTTGATAACTATGAGATTTGGAAAAGGGTTGCTGCATCTCAATGGGGGGGACGAGTTCCTTAAGCAGATGCGGAAAAACTGCGAGTTACAAAGACGCGAGCATAACGAATTAGTCGGGGGGATTCAACCCGAGTTTATGATGGAAAATGATATGATTGTGCACGTAAAGCCAGGAAGAATGGGGCTCGGGAACAAGGTACGTGTTTGCGTAGGCGAGGAAATGGTGGATCAAGTGATCTGGTCATTCCACAGCTCTCCTCTTTCTGGGCACCTGGGTGCGGAGAAGACTTGTAATCTGATTGATAGGTACTATTACATAAGAGATCTGAAAAATCGAGTTAAACAGGTCATAAGAAGGTGTAAAATATGTCAAAAACATAACCTGCATAGGGGACGTGCCCCTTTTCAAGAAACCGAAACTTCTAACTTTCCCTTTCAGAAGGTTTCGACAGATATAGTAGGGCCTCTCCCTGTGTCCCAAAATGGTAATAGATATATACTTACTATTATTGATATATTCACACGGTATGCAGAGGCCATTTCCATACCTGATCAATCTGCCTGCACGATAGCTAAAGCAATCTTTGATTACCTCATATGCAGATATGGGTGTCCTGACTTAATTATATCTGCCCGGGGGGCTAATTTCACTTCCAGACTCCTGGAGGAGGTGTGCAACGAGCTCTCAATTAAGCACAACATCACTACGGCTTACAGACCTTGTTCCAACTCGGTGTGTGAACGTTTCAACAAAACTATATGTGGTATAATCACGAGAATATCGGGAGGCGAAAACCGGGAGTGGGACAAATTCATGAATCAGGCTATGTTTGCCTATAACAATTCCACCCACTCTGCCACTAACGAGTCCCCTGCCTTCCTACTTTACGGGTTCGACCCTCGGTTCCCCAGTGCTTTCCCAATGGAAACCTCTGCTAATGATCGTGAACGCGATCAAGATTGGGGTTTTGTTAAAAGATTAAACATGATAAGGGAAACCGCTTATGACCTGGGAAGGAGGCGAAATCGGAGGAATCGAGAAAGGATAAATGGCAATAGAGGATGTAGTAGCTGGAAGGAAGGCCAAAGGGTTTGGCTTATGCGTAAAGGCAAAAGGAAAGGAAAGTTTTCGCCTAAATATATGGGACCGTACAGAATAACTCGGATTCTAGGGCCAGTTACGGTGGAGCTGGGGGGTAACTGTAAGAAAGACAGGTATATTGTGCACACAGATCGCATAAAAAACTGCTACTCCCCAATGTATAAAGAACCAAAAAGGAACAGTCGTCGCCTCCAAAAAAAAATGGGAAGCATAGATGGAGAAGGGAACGACGAAGAGGACGAAGAAGCGGACGAACAAATAGCGACATGGATCCGTTCAAGAGCAGCAGCACATCGTGAGCATCCACCTCAAGCAAGAAGAGATAGTATAGAACAAGTAGGAGATAAGACTGCGGGGGAAAATGATGTGAGACCCCAGCCTCGTTATAACCTGCGAAGGGGGAGGATCGATTACCATAAGTTGCACCATGGTGCTTGATTCTAAAGGGGGGGCATATGTGGCGGTACGCCATGTTTTTGTAAATAGGGGTAGATATAAATTTTATTTTCTCCTAAATTCCTTTGTCTTTAACGTGTTTCTAGAACTTTCTAACCTATTCCTTTTCTGTGGGTGGGGGACGACCTTTGTCCAAGGACAAAGGGGAGAAGACAAAAGGGACATTAAGAAGCCCTGAGGCCATCAGAGAGAACGAACTGGATACTTTTGGGTCAGCGTCTGAGGTGTGCAGACGTAGGAAAGAGCAAGCTAGAGGTTTGTCGCCTAGTGGGACAAACGGAGAAGGCTTGGAAGTCGTCTGCGAACGGACGAAAATTAGAAAGACATCCAGCCATAAGACCTCAAGAAAAAACGCTCCCGAATTCTCAAGAGACGGAATCAAGAGGAAGGAAATTGAGTTAATTCAAGTACCAATATAGAGAAGATCGGAGACTCCCAAGTTTACCCGGGTACCCCCACAAAATCTGTCCTTTATACTTATCTCTTCTCTTCATATCTCTTAATTTCTTTACCCTTCTTCCTTAGCATATAAGCTAGATTAAGGTAGATTTAAGTAGTCGTAGTATCTTAAACCATAATCTTTTTATTGTCGCGAGCACGTGTTCTATTTGTGAAAATATAGAATTTTGTCGGACGGATTCGAACTTGTGCACGTACTATAGTTTGGGATCAAGTGTGTTTAGTGTAAACGAACCAGGTGTACGAAGGACTAAGTAGCTGTAGTTGAATAAATATCCTGTTTGATTTTATGGTTACTTCTTTGTCATCCTTCCTTTGTCCTCCACACC